TGTAAGATTGGTATATTGAAGCATAGGTGAAAGGTATTCCTTTTATTAAAACCACATATAAATGCTATATATAATAAAAAGCAATACGATAAATTAATATATTTCTATTATAAAGATAAAGTATATTCTTTATCATTACAGCATAAACAATTTACAGGTATACATAATAATTAAAATGAACATGTAACCAAGAATGTGTAATTGAATATGTACATAAACAAATAATATATTATTTAAAATGTATTCATTCACTGTAAATAATGTGCACATTTAACTATTTTAATAATAATATAATTAAGTAGAATATTACTTGTAAATTAGTTAAAGTAACAATAAACAGGCTAAATTACTTATATTGATTAATTTATTATAAGTTGTTGAGAAATAACCAAGCAGCTGCCATTTACTTAATACACATTCAGTACAAAATACATAATGTTTTTGCGCAATGTGAATATTATGTAATATTGTAAACTTTAATACATTGATAAATTTCTGATTATACAAATATTAAATAAACATATAATTTCAAAAATTAAAATGTGCTTTCAACATTGCTTTAAAATAGTTACACAGTTCAGTTTTACACAAACTTGTAGGATTGTTAAAGCATAGTTAAAAGATATTTTTTATTAAAACCACATAAAATGCTATGTATACTAAGTAATTTCTATGATATATTAATATATTTCTATTATAAAGATAAAGTATTTTATAATACCCTTTATCGTTACAGTATAAAAAATTACAGGTATACATAATAATTAAAATGAACATGCAACTAAAAATGTGTAATTGAATATGTACATAAACAAATAATATATTATTTAAAATGTATTCATTCACTGTAAATAATGTGCACATTTCACGATTTGGATAAAATTATAATTAAGTAGAATATAACTTTTAAATTAGTTAAAGTAACAATAAACAGGCTAAATTACTTATATTGATCAATTTATTATAAGTTGTTGAGAAATTACCAAATTGCCATTTACTTTATGTGACATTTTACTTTATATTATATCTCATAATTATTTAAAGCTAAATTAATTACTAACGGTAAATATTTAACAATAAATCATAAATAATATGTAGT